AAATAAACTCTGTTAAAACAAAAACTCTATTAGTCAATGAGACTGTGAAGGCCATTAAGAGATGTTTGCTAGCTGTTTCCACTTCACACCTTCTGGACACCTGATAGAACTGCACTTCCTGGCGGTTGTGTTGGGGGTTTCCTGGTGGCTGGGATGGTAAAGGATCCACCTGCAATGCAGGAGATTCAGAGTCAGTCCCTGGGTTGGGAAGATCCCCTGGAGAAGGGAATGGCTACCCACTCCAGTACTCTTGCCTGGAGAACTCCATGGACAGATGAGCCTGGCGGGCTGTTGAGTGGGGCCATGTGACTAGCTCTGGCACAGTGGATAAGCAGAAGTGACATGTATCACTTCCAAGCTAAAGCAGGTCTTTCCATAGCTCTCTTTTTCCTGGCAAATCCAAGCTCATGACTCCCTAAGTGCCAATGATGAACCAAGTCCCCCAGCTGACCTCTTGTGGGTGCACATCAGAGCAAGAAACAAACCTTTCTTGTTCTAACCCACTGAGCTTTTAGGAGTTGTTTCCTCAGGAAAATCTAGCTTACCTTGACTGATACTGAGATGATCAATAATTGCGGTATTACCCTTGCAAAACTATGTCTTCTCCCCTCCGTCAGTCAGTGATGGGGCACATTTGAAGAGGCAAAGCTGACCCATGAACTTCATTCACAAATCTCTTCAACATCTAAAAGAGTCTAAGCACTTAGTCCAAGCAGACTCTGACAAAAATCTTGGCCTTATATTTTCAAGCACCTCAAAATTCCAGTCTTTCTCTCTCTCTCCTTCTTCCCCCTAAGAACTCTCTTATTAATGCCTATCTATCAAGCCACCTTAGGTCCACCTTCAAGTGCTGTGTAGCCTCCTAAGAAGGAAAGTTTTTCCTCTCTGATTAATTTTCTCCCAAGAATCACAACTTCAGTCCTTCCACAGAGAGCATAGGAGGAGAACGATTCTAATCAAGTAAAAAGGCTGGAGAAGGTTGTGAATCCCCAGAGCTAATACTGTTTATCTGGCAAATCATGGTCCTTTTGCTAGCGTCTGAGAGTTTCTTTTGCCATCTCTTGTTCTCTTTCTTGATTTTTTCAGAAAACGGGTAGGAGCGGAACATTATTTGGAGGACCCTTCAAACCCCAACAAAGGCCAACTGGAAACCTTTCAGGAAGTTTCCATAACAACAAATCATTGATCGTGCTTTATCCCTTTGTTGCGTGGGAGGGTCACAGGTGTTGTGATAACCATGGAGAGTAAGATAGTAATAGCTTGGTGCAGCCTCCCCAAGTCACAGATGGGTCTCTGCCATCATGACTCTTCCCTGGCACTCTCAGGCTCGCAGAGCAGTCCAGCCAAAGGTCCAGTTCCCACACAAGAAGATCAATACTTTCATGATCTGTGCACAAAGGGCTTGCTGATCCCCAGGGTCACCTCCAGTCTCTGCAGCAAGTTTCCAGCCAATTCTAGAAAGCCCCTTCTCTTCTACCTTATCAGCTCGGCTGCTCTTCTTATCTTCTCATCAAACCTGAAATCTCTCTCCACTACATTGATGCAGAAGCAAACATATGACTACTTAAGGAGAAAAAGGAGCCAAATCACACAGGAAAACACCCTCTGAATCTCTCTTTGCAGTATTACATGATTTCTGGCTGTTTCGTCCTCCACACATACAACATTGACTTCTTCACAAGGGCCTTCTGGGCTTTACCAACATGTTGCAATACAGTGTTGGCCAAGCCATGGCATTCACTTCTGGGGTCTACAAACCACGGCTGACTGCTGGAGCTCTACATTCTCTAGATGCATGATGACTACTTTCAGGGTTATCAACAAATTCAGGAGCTGGCACAAGGTTCAATGTACAGCTTTCTGATTACAAAAGGCAATCTGGAATCTTCTTTGATCCACTCATCTACTCATGAAACCCAGTAGGTCACCAAGTCTTGCTACAATGTCTCTCAAGCACCTCTTTAGGTTTCTCTACTCCTATTCTTGCGAGGGCCCCAGCATGTTTCCTGGATGACAGAACTAACTGGTTCTTCTACCACAGTCTCCACCCTCACCATGGTGATCACCGCAGAACATCAACATGACTACCAGGTTGCCTTATGGCTGCTCAGCCCAGGGATAAGAGCATAGGTGTTAGTGTCAGGTAAGAACAAGGTTCAAGTCCAGACTCTGCTACTAACTGGTGCTTCACTCCAGGCTGTGCTTTCTTCACCTCAGATGGGGAACAACAATGGACCCTACCTCGTAGAGTCTGGGAAGACTGAGCGGGGTGGTGTATGTTAGGCTCTTAGCACAGTATTTTGGCGTCCAGTAAGAGCTCAACAAACATTTATTATCATATATTCCAAGCATCTGAGGCCCTGCAAATTCTGTTCAGAGCAGGCTGTTCCACCTCCTTTCACCATTAAGCTGCATAGTGGCCGTGACTCCTTCGTCCCAAGGGTCTCACCCTGTGCTGCCCACTTGCTGCTGGTCCACGGCCCTCACACAACACTGTATTCTGCTGTTTCAGCTGCGCTGGACTCCCTGTGACCCCATGATTGGCAGCCTGCCAGGCTCCTCTGTCCATGGGATTCTTCAGGTAAGAATGCTGGAGTGAGGTGCCATGCCCTGACAGGATCTTCCTGACCTAGGAATCGAACTCATGGAATCTCGTGCGTCTTCTGCATCACAGGCAGAGTCTTTACTGCGGAGCCCCCCGGGGAAGCCCCATGGCAACATCAGGACTACACTTTTACCTCCAGCTTGCTAGTCCCCGAAATGTAGAAAGAATAGGCAGACTGTCATATTTTCAACAAAGCTTTCATTAGGAGACGATACCCTAAAATTACCCCTGGAAAAGGTACATTAGTTTCTGAAATCGGCACAATTTCTTGATGTCTAATCATCTTTATCTCTTAAGAACAAAGGTCTTACTAAAGCAGAACCACGCGGCCCCCTTTAAGGCCCACATGTACAGTCTTCTCAAGCTCACCAGAAGGGGGAGTGCCAGCATAAAGCAGGATCTGGGCACTCCCTCTCAAGGGGACAGATATTTGTTCCAGGACTCATAATCCAATGACATTAGTTGTGTATATATGTATATATGTGTGTATATATATATATATATATATATATACATATATATATGTATATATATATATAATTACCAGAATCCCAGAAGGTGGAAGCATCTCAGCGCTTATAATTCTTCATCCATACTTGTCATAGCACAGCCCATGCTTGCTATTATTATCAAAATGAATTTCCTGTGATTTGCAAGAATCTAAGTTCTAGCTACAGACTAGAATACCTGAGTTACCTGGATTCCAAACTGGTGATGATTCCTATCCATGCATCATTCCTACCTGTTAGCCTATGCGTAGTAGAAGTATCAGAATACTCAAAAGCCTGGAGCTAGGATGCCTGGATTCAAATACTGCCTCTATCACTTGCTAGCTGTGTGATCTTCGGTAAAATGTTTAATCTCTCAGCACTTAAGTTCCCTCAACTGTAAAACAGAAGAACCATGGCACCTATCTCCTGGACTACTGCAAAGATTAAATGAATCAATATGCACAAGTACTTAAAATAGTGTCTGATACACAGTGAATAAACACTGTATGTGATTTTGCTCCTTCTAATGGTACTGCTCTGCAGTTAACAATCATCCTAGAGCCTCACAGACAAGGCAAAGAGAAGCAGACACTGAATCTGTTATCTTGAAAGCAGCTCAGTAAAAGAAACCTTGCCAATGGATTCTATATTATTAATACTTGGGGTCAAAATTCAAGCAAAGACCACAGGACAGGGGAGAGGCAATGCAAAGTTCAAAACAGAAAGGATTACTTAATTATCCTAGATTTCACTTTCAGAAACTCAGGGTAGTCAAAACCCATAAGAAAATATATGGCTCTAATAATTGCTGATGGTTCATAAACAGCCACCCAGGGGACCCCACATCATTGAGACTGTCATTGATGGGGGACCTTGCCAGTGCCCAGAAATATTGCCCTGCCAGCTGAAACAGTTTACCCCCACATTACAAATATTTTTAGTTCACGACATGATTTCCACATTCCCTGTAGTATGAATACTTTCTCACCTCTATCATTCCTACAAACGTCTACCACTATTACCTGAGTTCATTTTTATGGATTTCCACTATTTTTCTTTCCAGCTTCTGTGACTGCTTGGGGAAAATCTCAAATTCACTGATGTAATTCTCAGGATGCTCATCAGGATCGTAATCACCAAGCTCAGCTGTAACCAGTAAAAAATAAACAGAAAGATTAAAAACAACAAAAACAGGATATACATGGAATGGCTCCTGCCACCCAAAAGAAGAGAGTGGAACAAGCTCATGCAACAAAAAGCACTTAAGTTCCCTCAACTGTAAAACAGAAGAACCATGGCACCTATCTCCTGGACTACTGCAAAGATTAAATGAATCAATATGCACAAGTACTTAAAATAGTGTCTGATACACAGTGAATAAATACTGTATGTGATTTTGCTCCTTCTAATGGTACTGCTCTGCAGTTAACAATCATCCTAGAGCCTCACAGACAAGGCAAAGAGAAGCAGACACTGAATCTGTTATCTTGAAAGCAGCTCAGTAAAGGAAACCTTGCCAATGGATTCTATATTATTAATACTTGGGGTCAAAATTCAAGCAAAGACCACAGGACAGGGGAGAGGCAATGCAAAGTTCAAAACAGAAAGGATTACTTAATTATCCTAGATTTCACTTTCAGAAACTCAGGGTAGTCAAAACCCATAAGAAAATATATGGCTCTAATAATTGCTGATGGTTCATAAACAGCCACCCAGGGGACCCCACATCATTGAGACTGTCATTGATGGGGGACCTTGCCAGTGCCCAGAAATATTGCCCTGCCAGCTGAAACAGTTTACCCCCACATTACAAATATTTTTAGTTCACGACATGATTTCCACATTCCCTGTAGTATGAATACTTTCTCACCTCTATCATTCCTACAAACGTCTACCACTATTACCTGAGTTCATTTTTATGGATTTCCACTATTTTTCTTTCCAGCTTCTGTGACTGCTTGGGGAAAATCTCAAATTCACTGATGTAATTCTCAGGATGCTCATCAGGATCGTAATCACCAAGCTCAGCTGTAACCAGTAAAAAATAAACAGAAAGATTAAAAACAACAAAAACAGGATATACATGGAATGGCTCCTGCCACCCAAAAGAAGAGAGTGGAACAAGCTCATGCAACAAAACGTGTTCGTCTCTATGGAAAGGCTACAGTCTGAGTGTCTAGAAGGTCATATTCTAGTTTAGATTTAGCTGTGTGATCTTGGACACTTGTTGAATGAACTCTCTGAGTCTCATTTTTTTCAACTATACAATAAAGGAATTTAAATCATTGTTTCTCAGTGGGACACTATTGGCATTTGGGGAAATAAACAATTCTTTATTGTTTCAGACCTTCCAAGGTATGGTAAAGACATTGAGCACTCCCACCCTTCAGGTTCTAGGTGGTGGTGGCACAACCACTATTGTGAACACCCAAAACGCCTCCCAATATTTCCAAGTGTTCCCCACGATAGGAGTGTTACCACCTCTATTTGGAACCCACTGAGTGTTCCTCAAGCCTCCTTTCATAGTTAATTTTCTCTGAGTCGAAGAATTCCCAGACTAGAGCTGTTTAGTCTGAGATTTGTGCAGGTGTGGCCCATTCAATGAAAAAAAATCAAAACATAAAGGACCAAAGAGGATTTATTTATATAAAAATAAATGGATTGCTCTTCAAAGTAAAGAGTGCGTGTCTAAGTGTGGCTAAGCATCCCAGATTAAGGTTTCTGGGTTCTAATACAGGGTTCCGCCAGAGGGTCTTTAGGGGTAAAAAGAAATGCCTGCACATTTCTGAGCGCCCAGAGGGTCTATGAGAAGATGGACTAAGGATGAGCATTGACCATGGCCTGAAGCAGCAAAGAGGCTGTTCTTTCAATGGGAATACATTCTACTGATTCCACAAGCTTTCTAAGTAAAATGAGCCAGAAGGGGCAAGTATCTCAGGCAGAAATAGCCCAGGACAGTACATTAAAGGTGGTGGGAAAACTGTGTTGGAGGAACTTGATCATCAACATGACTTTGAAGTAGATAGAAATCAATATGCCTTGAGCACATCTGCAAAATCACATCCAACTCTGTAATTTGTATCTACTGTCCCAGTACTGTTGAATCATCTAATGATGGTAAAAGGACAAAACTGGGAGGAAAGCAAAGCTCTTTAAAGCTTCTCAATAGAGTTCAAATTACAGTACAACCTAAATGTACACTACATGAGGAAGGACTTTCAAAACAAGATCTCAAATGTCATCAGTCACAGAGGGGAAATTGATTAATTTGATCATATCAATATTAAAATATTTCACTAAAATAGTCAAAATAATAAGTTGAAATAACATATTTGCACAATAGAAATCTGACAGAGGCTAATATCTAGAAAAAAGAAAAAAGAATTCCTACAAATCTATAAGTAAATGGGGAGGAATTCCAATAGGAAAAGGTGAAGGAATGTCAACAGCCAATTCATAGAAGGGAAACCCATAGAGCTCATGTATGGAAAGTTGCTCAAACTCATCAGTACTGAGGGCTATCCAAACCAAAACTAGAAGATGTCACTTTATACCTATAAGATTAACAAAAAGTTTAGTAAGTCAGATGATTCTATGTGTTGGCAGGAACATGAGGAAATAGAAGTGCTTATGACACATTTGAAGATTCTTGATGCATATAGCTCTTCTAGAGAGTAAGCTGGAAGTATTTAGTCTAATCTTACAACCCAGTAAGCCCATTTCTGGGCATATATTCTAGAAAAACTCTAGGTGCAACAAAAGATATGGGGAAACTTGGGTGTTCATTACTGCTGGGTGCAGTAAATACCACAAGGGCAATGCACCCCACTGGACTCTCTGCAGCAATTAAAAGCAAAAAAATACAACTATACCCAGAAATGTGAGTAGATTCCCCAAACAGTGTTCTGAGCATAAAAAGGAAGGATTAAATATAGCCCCATTTAATTTATGAAACTTAAGAATATATACACACAAAACAATACTAATCATTTTATAAGGATATATGTCAAGTCAATGATATACAAGAATCCAGTTGTTGCCTTTAGGAATGAAAACAAAGAATAATGAAGAAAAGGAAACTCAACCAATAGGTGGGCCAATGGGACCAGGATGAAAGTGAGCCATGAACTGGTGATTAACTCAATCTAATCTTCAAAAAAAAAAACCACCCATAACACACTGACACATACACACACACACACACACATATACACATGACTCCTGTAAGCTGGCTATGGACCCAAAAACTTAGAAATGGTATAACTCAGAGCCTACTTTCCCATAGGGAATGGATCACTGATAGTAAACTATGCCGTGTCCAATGCAAATGTCAGCTTGCACAGCGGTTAGTAGCATTGTTTGTGCTTATGTTGTTTTGTGTTGCATTTGTGTTGTTCACGGTGGGTACTTCTTCCAGGAAAACTTGTGAGATACAATGGCCTTGTACTGCCAAACACAGCAAATAAGTAGCCTGGCAAATGCCAGCAAACTCAGAGAAGGAACACCATGGAACTTGCACAGGGTTGCTGACAAGGTAAATGTCAACATCTGCCCCATCACTTGCCCTGCTTTCTTGTTCTTTGAAGCTTATCTTTAACTTTGACTTCACCTGAAGCAAAAGCTTATGAATGATTAAGTTCATTTAAAATTCTGTTTTCCATCCCAAGAGGAGTTGGGAAAGCAGCATGTGGTTCTTTTCTGCACATGGTGTTGAGGGCAAAGTTACAACAAATAGCATACAGCACATGGGCTGGCTTGTGAGAATGTAAAATTAAATTAAAATAAAAGAGAATTTAATTGTTAGCAAAATCCAAAGAGCTGAAGCCAAATGATGAGTGTGATCGGATGATGGCAAAAGAAGTATTGACTTTAAAGGGCACATATGGCAGTGGCATTTCCCTTGGTTTGGGGAGAGCTTGTTCCAAAAGAACTTGAAATACAAGACATTACAGCTCCAGGGTCGACTTCTTCAGAAGATGTCCCTCACCACCCTTGCTTGATGAGGGGCCTCATGGGATCAGAGTGGCAATCCCTGGGTCCCTCTATGTAGACACTGAGACACCACCAAAACTTTCTGTTTACCTGTCTGCCCCTACCCCCCAAAGGGACTTCACATAGCAATGCCTGCCACCTAGGAGTGTCCAATAAATGTTTGGAGAGCACATGGATGAGGTAGTAAACCAATCACTCTTTCCCAGGTACAGAGATAGAGCATACTTTGGTGCAATTTATGCCATTGCTCTGGTTCACTTAACATAGTGGAGAATTGAGTGTGCCAGACACAGGGGGACTGCAGTAAAAAAAGACTCCCAGAGTCCCACTTCCATGAAATTTAGATTCTACATAAGAGGCAATGCATAATAAGACCCCAACCAACTTAACAAGATAATTTTGGATATAAGTGCTTATTAAAAGACAACAAAACAGAGACACTAGAAAGAATAATGTGCAGAGAGAGGCTCCTTTAATAGTCCAGGAAGACTTCTCAGAGGAAGTGACATCTGAACAGAGTTCTGAATAGCTAGAAGGAGCCACAGACCCACAGGGATTAGACATACCAGGTGAAGAAGATAAGATCAGTAATCCTGACATGTTGTTGTTTTGCAGAAGGAACAGGAAAATATGTGCACCAAGAAAGGCCAAAAATAGATCCCTAGAGCTTTGTGTATTTGTTTTGCAATTTTCATTATGAGAGACAATGCAAAGCATGCATTGAAAATACTCATATTTAGTGTATACAGGTAGCAAAACTCTGGATGGCTGCCTGCATTATATACTCAGAACATTCTGAAAGCTTAAAACATCCTCCTTCAAAGAATGTTAGCAAACAAGAGGCCAATAAAAAGTCACATGTCCTCCGCTTTCTAACCCTTTACTCCACATTTCCTATCACTCTGAAAGCATAAGCAGTTCTGACAAAGCAGATCTTTCTCTGCATTTGTAACGATCTCCAAGGCTGCTGTAATAACTCCCCCAGCCACAGAGAGTTTTATAAATCCAGCTTTTACTGGATTTGCTACAAATGGCCCATGGACACCACTGCGTTTTAGAGCTAAAAGGCTTCTTTGAGGTCTGTCAGTCCATTTCCAACTCTACTCTCCAGAGAGCATCTGTGAGTGTGGCCAGTGATAATAGCAACAAGGGATGAAACGGGCCCTGATCATCTGGATGGGGTCTTTGTGGCTTTATCTCAAACATAAAACAGGATGGAGAGCTTCCCATTACAGATCCATATTGAGCTTGCCCTTAGAGAATTGATCATGATTCACTAATGCCTAAATGCGTCCTGAAATGCTCATAGGCTAGTCTGCTGCTCAGATTAGTATTGATTTGCTTTTCCTTTATGGAAGACAGTGCACCCTAACCAGGAACTTGCAGTCTTCACAGGAAAGGTTTGAACATTCTTTAGCTCTGTGTAAGAGAGGCAGCTTTCAGAAGCACACACTCCGCCTTGGAGTAGATGGAAGGATTAAATCTCATCAGGGTATCACCGTCACCCTGATTTTAAACTTTAATATTTCCAAGGGTTTTAACAGCTCTGCCAAAACCTGCTAAGCAGTACAAGGTTGCTCCCAGAGGAAGGGGAAAAGCAACACAGATAGACTTCAGATTTCTCAAAGAGTGCACACACCCAGAAACAGAGTCCTAGGAACCATTTCACAGCACAGAGCATCCCCCGGGGACAATGGTGAGTGACAGTGAAACCCCAGGATGACGGGGGGTTTCTCTTAAGCTGTGAATGAAGTCTGGAACTGTGATCAGACAGGTGACTGTCATCAACCACTTATGACCCCATCATAAACTCCTTCGATATTTCAGATCCCTTATCAGAGTGACAAGCTCACTTGGTAATCTCTCTCTCACCCCATTCCCTCCCCTCCTCTCTCTCTCTTTCTCTCCCTCTCTCTCCATCCCTCCTCTCTTCTCCTAGTTCCCTTCCCCACCCTCCTCTTCTCTCATAAACATGTCACCAGCATCCAAGCTACAAATGGCTGGAACACCTGAGTCCCTCAAAACAGGCCCAGCTGCCTCCTGGCAGGCCCAGAGAAACAGAACATCTGAGTCATTCTCCACTTGTGTCCTGAGCCCTTCCCCATGGCAATGCATTGCCTCGGGTCCTGTAGACTGCCTTTCCTCAAACAACTTTTTATTATAGGTAGAAACGTATGAAAACCAACCTTGGGTCCTAAGTGTTTGCCACTTCCCACGGGGGCCTGTTCAACCCTGAGACTAAGTCACATAAAATTATCATGCAGCAGTGAAGGAGGTATGACCACCTCTTTCAATATATGAAGACACTGAAGCTTAAAGAGTTTAAATCACTCGTCTGTGGTGAAATAACCAGGAAATGGGAATTCAGGCTCAAACTGAGAAATGAGAGACTGTGGGCCTGGGGTTCTCACCATGCTGTGTGACTGTTGTAAAGGTGAAGAATTAGATATGGTACACATATATATATACATACTACATATGTGGATATACCTGTATAAATCCTTTGACATTTCATCAAGGCGTTCATCAAAGGTTTGAAATGACACCTGTTTGACACCTGCCTTCCTGGACACAGATCCCCTGCTCAATATACCCAGCACACCCCACACTTGGTATTTGGAACTCAGGGCATTGAAGATCCCATAATCCTTCAGAGCTTCTTATAAAGTCATGCATTCCATCCCCTTCAAAACAGAGACTCTGAGCTCTCCCTTGGGGCCTTGAGGACACTGTTCATGCAGAGGCCCCTGGGACCACAACAGCCCATCTTCCAGCAGGACCCCAGGGGCTTGGAAGGGAAGGAGGGGGGCTCCACTGCTGATCACCCAGCCCTGACAGGCCTCCAACCATAACACAGACAGGATGAGCACAGGCTGGGAGGAGAGAGGCTCTGAACAGCCGAAGCCCTGCTGTCCTGTACAATGGTGGGGATGGGCAGCCGGGCCCACACTTACCTTGAACGATACAGGCACCCAGGTAGGCAGCATCTGAAAAGGAGCAGAGCAGTCGACCATGGAAAATATCTCTCTTAATTTGCAGGTACAAAAGGTACCTGCAACGCGAAAGGAGAAAGAGTCGCCCTAAGTAAGAGTCGACCTAAGGCCTGGAAAAGCAGAAGGATTGTTTACGTTTCATCCACCTGGGTCACCAGAACCCTACCTGCGCTGCTTGGAGGGCAAGCAGAGGAAAACTGGGAGGGGCCCCAGGGTTCAGAAAACTTGAAGTGTCTGCAGCCACTTCCAAGAGAGACGGGGAGAATAGAGGAGAGCCACGGGGCCAAGCAGCCACCGTCCCTGGGGGAAAAGCCCCACACAGTGACAACCACAGCCGCCCTCACCCCCGCCAGCACCTCAGGGACAGGCTGCCCATGCTCTCGGTAGAATGAGGAGTCCGGAAACACACTCAGTCTTATGGAGACTAGTCCCAGTCAATCAACCTCAAAAAAAGACTTGGTTACAAGGCCAGAAAGCCAGCTCATTCTCAGTGAGAGCTGTCACCTGTTCAGTATCCTCTCCTGCCATCTTCTCCAGCTCAGACCAACCTGATTCTGAGTGACAGGGGCTGGGGTCAGGGGTCGAGGGGCAGGACAGAGGGTGCTGGCTCCGGTGGAAGGGTCAGCACCGTGCAGCTCCAATTTGCAAAGACTCATTGAGAGGTAAAATCCTTTGAATTTTAATGTTGCAGCAAACTCTATTTTTGAAAACACTGTAGCACCCAACAAAAAAAATATGCCTGGCCTGACTCAGCTGGGGATAGGTGGGGGTGGGGTGTCAGCTTGCCACTCCTAGCTCAGGGCATCTCACCACTGTCCCCTCTGTTCCTCCATGCCAATCATGCCCTCTTCAGATCTCCTCCCATTTCTTAGCTGGATTGATTCTTTCATTGAAGGGTCAGGCCGAGGGTCCTTGTCTCTGACTAAAGTAACTTTATAGACGTGTGCAGATTCTTTCTGCTTATTTTACAGTTTAAGTCGCAGAGACCAATCTTTTTCTTTTTTTCTTTCCAGGTTCCTGAGGCCAGGTGGGGGCAACACCCCATCGGTCCCAGTCACTACCTCCAGAACTCAAATAATCTCATCTTTTACTCAGCCTGAAGCTGACGCTCCAGTATTTTGGCCACCTGATGCGAACAGCCGACTCACTGGAAAAGTCCCTGATGCTAGGAAACATTTAGGGCCGAAGGAGAGGAGGGCATCAGAGGATGAGATGGCTGGATGGCATCACTGATACAATGGGCACAAACTTGGGCAAACTCCAGGAGATGGGGATGGACAGGGAGGTTTGGTATGCTGCAGTCCATGGGGTCGCAAAGAGTCAGACATGACTGGGCAACTAAACAACAGCAAAGAAGCTTCATGCACAACCCCACTTAGAGACTGACTGAAGTGCTCAGACCATTCAGGTGCTGCCAGCCCACCCCAGTCCCATCCCAGAGCACTGGAGCTCACCATCTCCTGACTCAGGGCTGCACTGATGGGCTCAGTGGCTCCCTGCTGGTTCCATCTGAAGAATCTTTATCTCACACCTGCTTTAGGCCATGACAGTGCTGGGCACTGGGGACAAAGTGGAGGCTCAAATGACACTCTCTGTCCCCAGCTGTGTATGAAACTGTGTGCAGGACATAAAGGTAGTCCCTAATAAATGTCCTGTCTGGGTTAGTGTGAATTTTGTCAAAGGACCCATTTTGTCAAGGACCCAGAGTATCTCCCTAAACTGACACCTTTCACACTTTAGTGAGCTTGTGAATTACCCAGAGATCCTGTTAGAATGTGGATTCTGGTTCAGTAGGTCTGGGTGAAGCCCAAGAGTCCAGATTTCTAATAAGCTCCCCAGTGATGCTGAGCTGCAGGCATATGGACCACACTTGAGTAAAAAGGTTCTAAACCAGAGGTTCTCAGCCTAACTACACATCAGAACTATATGGGGGAGCTTTTAGACAATACCAACATGGATCCTACCCAAACCTAATTAAATCAGAATTTTGTTCCTCACCAAAATGTGTACATGAGTTTTCATAGCCGCATTCTTCATCACAGCGAAGCTGAATGCCCATCAACTGATGAAAGGATAAAGAAAAGTGGTATATCCATACAATGGAATATTATTGAGCCATAAAAGGAAGGAAATACCTACTGATTCCTGCTACAACAGGGGTGAAACTTGAAAACATTAAGCTAAGTGAAAAGTCAGACATAAAAGGTGTATAGACCACATATTTTATGATTCCATTTGCATAAAATGTTCACAATAGACCAATCTACAAAGACAGAAATATAGCTGCATAACTGCCAGGGGCTGAGGGGAGGGGAGAATGGGAAGGACCGCTTGAGTATTCGGTTTTCTGATGGGGTGATAAAAATGTTCTGGAAAGGGATCACAGTGATGGTGACACAGCTCTGGGAACATACCAAGTCCACTGAACTGTATGCTCTAATGTCTACCTAAGGGAACTAATACTTTTGAAAACCCCAATTGCCTTGGAGTAGTAGTTCTTGGAGGAGGGCATAGCAACCCACCCCAGTATTTTTGCCTAGAGAATCCCCGTGGACAGAGGAGCCTGGTGGGCTGTAGTGCATGGGGTGGCAAAGAGTTGGACACGACCGAGTCACTAAGCGCAGCGCAGTACAGTGGTTCTTAAATTTTAACATGCTTTCCAATTACCTGCAAAGTCACTTCAGTTGTGTCTGACTCTTTGCGACCCTGTAGACCATAGCTTGCCAAGCTCCTCTGTCCATGGGATTCTCCATGCAAGAACACTGGACTGGGTTTCCATTTCCTTCTCCAACAATTACCTGGAGCACTTATGAAAATACAGATTGCAGGACCCCATCCCAGGCCTGGCGCAGAGACCAAGTTCCCAGGTGACACTGTTGCTGTTAATCCAGTGACCTGATTTTGAGGACCAAGGCCCTTGACTATTCAGAATACCAGGGTCATACAAATACTTGAGATGATGAAATCTTTCTTAAAGATTTTAAACTACCAGGCTGAATGCCATCGAGTTTCTTTGCTACATGCTGAATGTATGCATTAAACAAAAAGCATTCCTTTCTACATTTTGGTGAGTTTAGCAGTGAAAAACAGTTTCAAATAAATATTCACTCATAAATGAGAGGTTTGGGTTCTGATCCCAAAACTCAGATATTGAGTCTGATGAAAGCTTCCTGAGAAAGAAAATCAGCTTTCACAACAGCTGAGATTGGGTCCTTGCTCAAATTAGCAAACTCTAGAGATAATCATGGATTATTATGGGTTCCACATAATCCACTGAGCCTTGCAAATGGCTTTAGGTTCAGATACTCATTTTTTAATGTAGCAGTCACCAAAAAACAACAATAATAATGCATTTACATCTCATCCCTCCCTGCATGAAAGAATTAAGCAACGAAAACACAAGAGGATCGGGGTCACACATTATTATGTCACCATTAATGATACACTTCTCCATCTAACATGAATTTAAAGATGGTTTTTACCAAAAAATTTTAAAGCAATATGCTTTTATTACATTCAATTGTATATAGCGTTTACCAAAGCCCTAGAAAGCTAAAGGATTGTAAGGTAACCGTGTAAATGGAGAGATAAAAAGGTTTAAAAATGATTTCAAATGTCCTTCTTGGTGACTATTCTTGTTGCTTTGCTCTTTTAAAACTGCTTTTCTTTCTCAGTGTTTATTTATACCTAAGCCTGGTCATAAATGTGATCTTAGCTTCTCATTTATTAAATTCTTCTTAAATTTTAGATTAACGATAAAATAACTTATCAAACAAGAAAAACTAAACTCTTTCAAAATAGGGTTTAAACTATCTGAGTCATTCCACAGTTTGCAGATTCCTTTCAAATTCTAAGGACAGTGTTAACTCAGAAAAGTTCATTTCTACCTGTGGAAGGACACAGTATTATCTTAATTTCCATCAGAGACATAAAAATATTCCACTATTAATACCTTAGCTATTCAGACAAAAGTAGGAAAATGCTAGCAAATTTAACTGAGTGGGATTTAACTGGAGTTAGTAACTAAAACTTTGTACCCTTTTACTTTCAAAAGGGGCTTTTCTCAACATCAACAACAAAAAAATAGATCCTTAATTTATATTGTGATACATATTCAATTTTTATCCTCCAGAAAAGATTTTAAAGAAAACAAGTGACAAAAGTGAGCCATTTTGGCCCCTGATGAAATAATGCCTGGCATGAGTCTTTGATTTGATCTTCCTAATTACACTGTTAGCACCCAGAGGGCAGGACAAATATCTCCAAATATGTCTCTCTCTCTATTTATTTATTTAAGTAGCTCACAGAGCCCTTGCAGATAGCAGAACTGAGGAAGAACTTAACAAATAAATGATTAAATTTTTCAAGCCAAAAGCAGGCTGAAGCCACGTACCATTTGATTCTATCTGCATGAAATGTCCAAAACAGGTAAATCCATAGAGACAGAAAGCAGATGAGTGGTTTCCAGGGTCAGGGGGATGAGAGAGTGAGTAGTAACTGCTCATGGGTACGAGCTTTCTGGGGGTCAGGGGGACAATGACATGCTCTGGAACTAGATAATGGGGATGGTTGCCCAACATGGTGAATGTGCTTAATGGCGCTGAATTGTGCACTTTGAAACAAAGAAAAATAATCTGTTATGTGAATTTTATCTTAATTTTTAAAAAAGGCAGGCCAGTTTGCAAAATGCCAACCACCACTTACAATGTCCATCATCTCCTCTCCCCTGCATACCCTACCCCACCCCCAAGCACAAACCTCCACCAATGGCTGTGCACAAATTCCTAATACAGAACGGCTCCCTTCCAAAGTCACCCTTTGCCACTGTGGTGGAGCCTGACTGGCCCCTCATGGATAATAAAGATAGCACAGCCCCCAAGAACCCTACACGTGCCTCTGCACACAATGATCAGGGCCAACTGCCTCTGCTTCTCTTCTGTGCTTGGACCCACACAGATTATTCTGAGAGAAGACTAGACGCAACGACTTTTTGCGGTCATCAAATCAAAGCCTCATTAAGAGCTAAGCATCAAATCAAAGCCTCATTAACAGCCAAGCACTAAGAATATGGGCTCTTCTTTATCCACCGAGCTGGCCCTCCTGGGACCCCGCTCAGTGGCACTGCCAAGGCTGCTTCTGGAACCTCCAGAAAGTAGACTATTTGCACGTGGCCACAGCAGAAGGAGACAGGAAGTGGCGAGGCCCAAGAACTAGAAAATGCAAATAGCTGGGCTGAGAACACTCTACAAGGAGAGGGTAGCTGGCTCCACGGTTGGTCGGTTGGTCGTATAGCAAGTGGAATGTGGGATGACAAACATTCCATTCTGTCAAGGGATCTTTTTCCCTTCCAGAAAATCTTAGATCCCGAAGATAAGTCCTAGGGGCTGCACTAGCTATGAATTTGCCCATATCCTAAAGACAGTCATCTTCTGTTTATTTTTAGCAACCCACTGTCAGATGTTTGCAGGGAGCAGCTCCTCCTTATACCCACTGCTTTTTTGCACAGTTAATTACACTCCTAGTGACAACGGTTTGAAAACTCCCAGGATAATTAAGTGCAAGAGAAACAATTCCAAGCCGAATACGGAGCTGAGGCGCCTGCTTGGTGGAGATGCTCCGCTCTAGGAGGAAGACTCAGCGGCCCCGGCTTTGGTTCAAGGGGCGCATTAAACATACAAACAAACAAACAAGATACCTGGTGAGCTCTTCTTTAATCTTCAAGGGTTCGTGTGGGTAGAATTTCACTCTAAAGCACATGGTGTATGGTGGATGAGCTGAAACATCATAAAGAAAAGGCATGAGAAAAGCAGCAGAAGACCGTGAACTCAAACACACACAGGCGAGTCAGCCATGCAGCCTTCCACTCTAGCCTGGGAGGTGGGCGGGAGGAGGATTTTCTGAAAGAACAAGAAACAGCAACAACGACCACAAAACTCAATGGAAATGCTTGACAAGACGCCTAAAGCAAACCAGGCACAGGCGACCTAGTCAGTCAGTACAGCTTTCCAGGTCACGGCTCCTTCCTTCTCTCCAGGCCACAGCTTCAAATAACATTTTCTCTTCCAACTCTTTCCACTCTCTTCTTCAGATATATTGTTCATAAGGACCACTCAGGATTTTGGCCTAGTGAAATATTTTTTTAGCCTGTGAGATGGAAAAATGTCACCACACATGACTAGTTTTCCCAAAGTGATAGTGCCTTTGAACTAAAATCAAGATTCTTAAAATGCAGTCTGCCATGCACAGATTCTACTCTGTATAATTTTAGTATTATTTTAGTGTTATCTATCAATGACGCAGTCGCTTGCATGAAAAGAAACACTTTTATAACTTCTTGCTTTGTCTGAATCAAAATGGCTACATGTAGACTGAAATTCTGATTGAGGTTTGTTGATTCTGGAATGTACTAATTCCATTAAAATATCCAGAACTCAGTAAGCTCCCAAGGGGATTCTATAGGATTTCTGATACCTTTAACTATAAGACCACTGTTGACTAGCAATATTAACCTAATGAATGCACACAAGTATAGTAAGATACATTTAGATTTCAGTTAATATACAAAATTAGCATCTCAAAATCAAAGAAATACGATGGTTAGTATTATTATTTCTAACTCTTATACAGCAAAAAAATGAAGAAAAACATAAATGGATTCTTAAGTCATTCATCTTTCACAATATCTAGAAACTCAGTTTTGATTAAAAATATCTTATCTTTACACATTCGCCAGATTTCTTTCAATTTGTTTAAATCATCATCTCTAAAGAATGAAAACTAATAGTGTTTTTAATGATTAAATATGTCCTTAATAGAAAGACTGAGACAGTTGTTATATAAGCAACAGAGCAAAAAAGAAAACAGCATTTAAGAAAGGCTTTTTCTCCTTTCTTTCTTCCTCCTTTTATTAAAGTCCTCAAAATTAATACATGTTTAAGTACAACCAATGAAGCTAGACAGACAGATGACAGTGAGATGAAAGAGATAGATAGATGGATGCCGACAGACAGACAGATGAGCCTTCCCCTTTCACATTCCTTCACTTTTGTCTCCATTCCTGCTCCTTCTGTCCCCCAGCTCCCCACCCCACCCCAGACTCTCCAACCACTGTTAACAACCATTTCATCTCTATGCTTCTCCACTTTTGCCATCGTCACACATGATGACACACATAAGTAATTTTTAAATATAATTTATTCCCACAAAATGAGATCATACTATGTATGTTTCTCTTCTCTCATTCAACTATCTTGCCCATCCATCTAGGACATTAGGTACAGATCTAACTCACTGTCTATAACAATTGCATAATAGTTCATATGATACACTAGAATTTACTCATCTATTCTTTAATTATTCAGGTTGTTCCAACATTACAATACACACATTCTATAATGGATACCATATGTATTATTGATATATACAATAATGAGGTATATCACTGGGGGCTTCCCTCATAGCTTAGTTGGTAAATCATCTGCCTGCAATGCAGGAGACCTGGGTTTGATTCCTGGGTTGGGAAGATCCCCTGGAGAAGGAAATGGCAACCCACTCCAGTATTCTTGCCTGGAGAATCCCATGGACAGAGAAGCCTGATAGGCTACAGTCCATGGGATTGCAAGAATTGGACATGACTTAGCGACTAAACCACCACCACCATCATTAAATGCAAGTGTTTTTATTCCATATATCATTAACTATTTCATATATTATTAAATATATATATTTTAATATAGACTCCCAACATTTGAATTTGGGGGAATAAAAGAGGCTGACTGGAGGCAAATAGAGAAAAGGAGGCTCATGGAAGGTAGACCCAAATGAGAGCTGTCATTTTGTTTTCTACCTGGTCAGTGTATTTCCTTGCGACGCCCTAGGCTGGCTTCAATTGGTATCTGAGCTCATTAGATACAAACTGGGATTTGCATTCCTCCTAAGGGACCAGGCAGTGAGGCTCAGAGGCAGCCATCTTTGAATTCCATGACTGTAGGCAATCCTTTCAGCCATCTTTGTTCTAAGACCTGAGGCTTCAGAATGATATAATGTTTCTCCCACATGGAGAGCCCTTCCATCATTTGAAGACACAGCTCAAGGTCCTTCTGAACCTTTTCTAAAATAAACATCCTGAGGGACTTGCCTGGCAGTCCAGGGGTTAAGAATTTGCCTTCCAACACAAGGGATGTGAGTTCTATCCCTGGTCAGGGAACCAAGATTCCCACATGCTGCGGGGCAACTAAGCCTGTACACCACAACTAGAGAGGCCACAAACCACAGCTACTGTGCCCATGTGCCACAGCTAGAGGAGCTGGCACGCTGCAATAAAAAGCTCACACTGCCAAAAGATTAATACAAATAAAATAAAATAAATATCCCCAGTTCTTGTAGCTGCTCCTCATATGGGAGCTTCGAGTGCCCTCACCCTGGATATATTCCTGCCTCCTCTGTGTTTCCTCAAGCCTGGAGCCCCAGCAGTTGCCAGAGCTGCTCAGGGGACCATCACAGGCTTCACTTTGAACATAACTGTTGCTCCCTATCAACAGCCTCCTCTCCGTGCTGATTCACTCTGAGTTTACAGACCAACAGCTGTAATTCTTTTCATACATGTTGCTGCTAAGTCAGACAGAAAAAGTCACCAAGCTCCTGCCATCTCCCCCTCCATTTTCTAGGATGTGATCATGGAAGATATTAATACAAGATTCCAGTGGTATGCTCACCACTAGACCCCTTATCAGAGAAGGGATGCCAAGCAGGTAGAAGAAAAATCAGGAGGTGACATTTTTCTTGTTTTTAAATTATTTTACTTCTTTAATTTTTGACCGGGTTGGGTCTTCACTGCTGTACAGGCTTTTCTCCACTTATGGAGAGCAGGGGATACTCTCTAGTTGTGGTGCTAGCTTCTCATTGCAGAGGCTTCTCTTGCTGCGGAGCACAAGCTCTGGGGTGCTTAGGTTTTAGTAGTTGTCACTCCTGGGCTCTAGAGCACAGGCTTACTAGTTGTGGTTCACAGGCTTAGCTGCTTTATAGCATACAGGATCTTCCCAGATCAGGGATAGAACCTGTGTCTCCTGCATTGGCAGGCAGACTCTTTACCATTAAACCACCAGAGAAGCCTAGAGGCGGCACTTTTCAAGTCTGAAATTTTCTACTCGTTTTCTTCTACTCGTTTTCTTCTACCATCATATATACCCCTACTGTGGTTATGTTGATCCAGCATCATTGGCCCTGTGTTGCCAACAAAAGAAAAAACTTTTCCTATAGGTTAAAAGAAGTGCATGATCTTGACATAATGAACCACAGGTAGTAGCAGGCTCCTCCTTAAAGAACACACTGAAGGCTGGGGATGCAAAATTATATCATAGAGCAAGAAGTAAAGCTAAGGAATGCTCCTTCGCAGGGCTGGAAGAAGCTGAAAAGATAAATAATTTCCCCCTAAAATGTTGATCTGGTTATAGATGACAAGATTTATGAGGGTTTGGACCTATATGTCTTATTCAGCTTTCCAGCCTCAGAGTTGCTTATTGATAAAGGATTAGTTCTCTCCCTGTCTAGATGAATTGATGAATGATGATGCCCAAGCTCTGAGGCAGATGTTAAGGCAAACAGCCAAGTGCTGCTGTCACACTCATCCCATTAGAACACTGGTCTAGAAGGTCCACAGTCTGAGTCTCTACAGCAATTTCCAGCATTTCTATTTTGAAAAATCTCAGGTCCTACAAATCAACCTCTGCCCTTCAACAGCTGGAACAGATTCAGGGACTCTGGAGTTGGTTACAATAGCTACTTCTAGTGGGAGGATTAATTAATCAACAAAAATTTTGAGTACCTGCTAGGTATCAGGCACAGGTTTAGATATAAACAAAAAATTCTATCTTCAAGGAGGACAAATTTTAGTGGGATAAACAGATATAAAATGAAAATAAATAAATGAAATATGTAGGACAGTTGAAGCTCATAATTGCCATGGAGAAGAATAAAGAACTTAAGGGAAGAGGGAAGACCATCCCCATCCGTGTTACCTTTTCTCATCTCCACACAAGCAAATCCACCAACCTAAGTGCAATTCTCTTTATTACCTTCTAGAAAATTAAACAAGGGGAGAAATACAATTATGTAGAATTTTAAATCATTAAACCCCAATGTGTTGGCAGTGGTTTAGGGTCAAAAGCTCAGATGTGGAGCACTGGCAGACACCCCACCAGCTGCATAAATGCTGGAAAAGAAGCTTTTCCAGGCTCCAGCTGACAGCTGGCTCGTGCTCCCTGGGACTAATCTAAGGTCAAAATCCTCTTGTGGAGATGAGCCCACTCCCTTCATCTAGCAGCTCAGTCTCTCTGCTCTTCCGGCTTCCATGTCTTATTCTTATGCTACAGAGCAAAAAGAGGAATAGGACAAAGGATGACACTTATCTGCCCAAACATTTGGTTCAGAAGTGGAGTTGGAAACATCTGATGAAGGAGCTATCTATAGAGCAAGAAATACCCAACACAGAGGTAACATGTAGGCAGTAACACCTATGCTCTGCTCGGGGCCCTTCCCCGACTGTGTCATCATGAAGAGCCACTAAGTGGCTTTACCAGATGGGGCACCCCAGAGGGGACAACACCCTCGTTCACGTCTACTGTGGTACTAAGGCTCTGGCATCAGTGAGAGAAGCACATAGGATGACAGGAAACCCAAGCCCACCAGAAGTGCTCAGATCTCAAAAGAGACTTCAGACAGTGATCTTAAGCAAGACACTGAACTTCTCTGTTTCCTGCTTTGGAGGAGGGAACGG